CCTCAGGACATCAGCTACACCACTACTGACTGGAAATATACCCAAAAGATGCTCCAACATGCAACAAGGGCATGTGCTCTACCATGTACATAGCAGCCTTATTTATAATAGCCAGAAGCTGGAAACAACCCAGATATCCCTCAAAAGAGGAATGGATACAGAAAATGTGGTTCCTTTACACAATGGAGTACTACTCAGCTATTAAAAACAGTGACTTCATGGAATTCCCAGGCAAATGGATGGAACTAGAAAATATCATCCTGTGTGAGGTAACCCAGTCACAAAAGAACACACATGGTATGCACTCACTGAGAAGTGAATATTATACCAAATGCTTTGAATACCTACAGTACAACTCACAGACCATATGAAGCTTGAGAAGAAGGAAGATCAAAGTGTGAATGTTTTAGTGCTTCTTAGAAGGGAGAACAAATAATCAGGGGAGGTAGAGGGAGGGAGGATGTGGGAGGGAAAGAGGAGGTGAGGGGAAAAGGGGAGCAGGATCAGGTGTGGAAGGAGACAGGGGAGGAGTACAGAGGGTCAGGAAATTGAATGGAGGTGTGTTGCAGTGGTGGATGGGGAACTGTGGGTAGCCACTAGAAAGTCTCAGATGCCAGGAAAGCAAGAGGTTTCCAGGATCCAACAGGCATGAGATTAGCCAAAATACCCAACAAAAGGGAGAGAGAACCTGTAGAGACCATATCCAGTGGATAGGCACGGCCCCCAGTGGAGGGATGAGGCCATACATCCATCTCAAAAATTTTAGCCCAGAATTGTTCCTGTCTAAAGAAAATGCAGGGACAAAGAGTGCAGCAGAGACTGAAGGAAAGGCCATCCAGAGACTGCCCCACGTAGGAATCCTTCCATCTGCAGACGCCAAATCCAGACACTATTGCTGATGCCAAGCACTTGCTGACAGGAGCCTGGTATAGCTGTCATTTGAGAAGCTCTGGCAGAGCCTGGCCAATACAGATGAGGATGCTCGCAGGCAACCATCAAACTGAGGGGAAGGACTGAAGGAGCAGAAGGGGTTTACAACCCATAGGAAGAATAAAAATATCAACTAACCGGAACCCCCAAAGTGCCCAGGGACTAAACCACTAACCAGACTACACATGAAGGGACCCATGGCTTCAGCTGCATATGTAGCAGAAGATGGCCTTATCTGGCATTAGTGGGAGGGGAGGCCCTTGGTCCTGTGATGGCTGGATGCCTCAGCATAGTGGGATGCTAGGGTGGTGAGACCGGAGCTGGTGGGTGGAGGAGCACCCTCATAGAGGAAGGGGGTGGGGAGGGGGAATGGGATAGAGAGTTTTCAGAGGGGAACAACCTTTGAAATGTAAATAAATAAAATAATCAGTTAAAAAAAAAAGAAGAACTGAGGTGAAGTCTTCTGGGAAGTGTTTTCTGAGAGAACAAAGAAGCTGTGTTGCAGAGATAGCCAAGGCTGTACCTCATGCTGCAACTGGATATAGTAATGTATAGAAGTCACCCAGGTGGTACTGGTTTTGAAGGCCTGAAGGGATCATGAAGAGCAGCTGAGGCTTGGCACTGTGAGAAGCCATGGAAGGTCATTGGTGAAGGTGCAGCCTCAGTTACAGTTGATGGCCCAGGACTGAAGGGGTCATGTAAAGGAGTTGAGGCTTGGCACCATGAAGAGAACTTATGAGAGGCTAATTGTAAAGCCTAGTTAGCAGTAGACCACAGACTATTGGAGATGCCAATACCATGGGATGATCACCATGAATGGCGGGAACAGTGGAGTGGATCTGATGCTGTAAATCTAAACCCAAATAAGCCTTTGCAAGGAAAACACAACTCAATTAATATGAATACAAGCTGTGTGCCTAGACTGGGCAGATCCACCACTGCACTACTGTGTTCCCATCTACAAGATCCCTTGCAACTTGCAGTTTCTTTAGGGCTCGGGCTTCTGTGCCATTTTTCTTCCTCCTCCTCTTCTTCTGTATTCCTTTCTCCTTCCTTTCCTCATCTCTCCTCTTCTCTCTCCCTCTCTCTAAACTTTCAGCTACACCTTCCTTTCCACTGTTCAACCACTGGCCCTATCCTTTATTTTACAAATTAAAATGGGGAGAAGGTTCACATGGAGTCACCTAAGTAAGTCATTCAATCCTAGTCCAAGGAAGCCCCTCAAGGGGAAGCAGAATTAGCATCAAAATACAAACATCACCAGGGCAATCTACATCTTGGATCAACCTGAGCTTAGAGTGCTACAGACTGAGCTGGAGAAGTGACACCAGCCCTTTGGAGGAGCCCAGAAGATCATGGGTGGATCCCAGACACTGAAACAAGAAACTGTAACATTGAAATTACCTCGGAGACATCAAGATAAGCGAGATGCCAGAGCCGTGGTCTCTCTGCTGAGGAAAGCTGCTAACAGGGAGTGGAACCAGTCCAGGAGAAAGAAGTTGTTGCAGTCAGCAAAGATGAAAAAGGAGTTGGAGATCTGAAGACTGCTTTGACGTCAGACATGGAGATGCAGAGTTTGGAGTTTGCCCAGCTGGCTTCCTGTCTTGCTTTGGGGATTAAGTGATTGGATGACTCTCAGAAGAGACTATGACATTTGAACTTTTAACTTTGTTGACACTGCTATAGACTATGGGGACCTTTAAAGTGAGAATAAATGTAGTTTTGCATTGTTCTATGTTTAGGTATGGCCCCCAAAGACTCATGTGTTTGAGTAAGCCTATGGGGGCCAGGGAATGTGATGGTTTGTTTATGCTCCGTCCAGGGAGCGGCACTATTAGAAGGTGTACACCTGTTGGAATAGGTAATAATAAGGTATGGCCTTATTAGAGTAGGTGTGTGGATTGGGCTTTAAGGCCTCATCCTGAGAGGGGCCCACAGCAAGGGGAAGAAGGGAAGTGGGTAGGGAACTCCCCACCCTAGCTGCCTGGAAGTCAGCATTCTGCTAGCAGCCTCCAGATGAAGATGTAGAACTCTCAGCTCCTCCTGCACCATGCCTGCCTGGATGCTGCCATGTTCCTGCCTCGATGATAATGGACTGAACCTCTGAACCTGTAAGCCAGCCCCAATTGTCATTTATAAGAATTGTCGTGGTCATGGTGTGTGTTCACAGCAGTAAAACACTAACTAAGACAACCTCTCATCCACGTTCCGCCCTGTAACAACCCCAGCTTGTAAGTGAATACACTCTGACCCTTACAGGAAACCCTCTGCAGCTTTTCCTCACAAGTAATAGTGTTATACTGTCTGAAGCTGCTCAAGGCCTTCTACTTTCCCTTCTGTCATTTCAACCAGAACTGCTGGCACTTACGCTCTACAAATAAAGTAGTTAAGTGGCTAATGAACTATGCCTTAAGTCCTAGGTGTGACAGGATCCCTTTGATCCGTGTTTTCTCTCCACTAGCACTGCTTTCTACACCTGTAAGCCTGCACAATGTACCTTTGATGAGCCAGCCTGCCTCCATTTTAGGCTTAAAGGCCATCTTTTTGTTGTTGTTGTTGTTGTTTTTTAATGTGAGTAATGTGAGGGCTCTGCTATGCACACATACCTTCATGCCAGTAGAGAGCGCCAGATCCCCTTTTAGATGGTTGCTGTGATCTTAACCACTGAACCATCTCACCAGCCTCTTAAAGTCATCTTATAGTAAAGACAAAGGAAGCTTATTCCTGTTTATGGTTACACTTGTGTTTCTCAAAGATAGGGCTAGGCCCGACCTGTAACCTTAACTTCAAATGGTTCTGTACTGCATGTTCCAGGAAACAGCAGCCATGTCTTTATTTCAGAAAATAACTAACTGTCTTGCAAACCTATGACTACCCGATTCTGCCCACCTTACAACCATGTCATTGTTCCTGGAGGTCCTTAGGACTAGCTTATTACTTGTTATGCTTATTTTCTGCTTGAGTAACGCCACCTGTTTTGTCCACCAGATCCCCCATTTGGTAACCCCCTTACCCAAGCTCTATAAAACCTTGTCTTCCTAATGCCCAACACTAACCTCTCCCACCCCTCCTTTGGGGGAGGGGAGACAATGTATACAAATAAAAAAACTTGCTTTAATTAGTTGCCTGCTTTAATGAAATTGGCGGTGATGATTTGGGTCGGTGGTTTTTCTCCTCCCATCTTTGGGATTAACACATCGCAGAACAGTCTCTTCAGAGATAGAATTCAGTCGATAAGAAGAATACAGCAGTGCACACTTTCCCTAACACTAACCTTTGTGAATTAAACTGGCTTGGTGTGCCTTCATTGCTAGCGATGTAGGCTGTGTTTCCTGCTTAGAGTGATGATTCAGACAGTGAAGATTCAATTGTTCCTCAACATGGAGTAAATCATATTGCTATATGTGATAACTGAGTTTGTCTCAATTTTATAACAAGACTACAAAGCCTTTGACAGCAAAAATGCTATCATGTGTATTTGATTTTTAATTGCAGAACAGCCACGACTATTCATTTCTGTTCATTTTTCCCCTTGAAAACAAGAAAAATAATTTTTTTTCTATTTTTAAAATTAGATATAACATTTTATTAGTTACTTGCCCTGATTAACTTTTGTCAACTTGACACAAACTAGAGGCATCTGGGAAGAGGTAATCTCTATTGAGGAAGTAACTCCGTAAGGTTGATCTATCAGCAAGTGTTTGAAGCATCCCCTTGGTTGGTATGAGAGGGCCCAGCTCACTGTGGCTGGTGCCATCTGGCTGGTGCCATTCCTGGCCAGGTTGTCCTGAGTTGTATAAGAAAGGAAGCTGAACAAGCCTCGGGGAGCAAGCCAGTAAGTAGCTTGGTTACTGCTTCAGGTCCTGAGTTCAAGGCCATCCTCGGCTACACAGAGTTGGAGGCTGATCTGAGCTACAGAAGACTACATAGAAAAACAAAACGAAAATCATTTATAATTTCTCCTTTATTAGATAACCTCGGATTTTTCAAGATTGAGTTTTTGTAATGAAAACTGGGTTCACGAGTTGACCCAGCAGCTATCTTTCAGAGTAAGCCAGGAGACTCCCTGGGCGCACGCGCACTTACACTATCCGTCCCTGCATGTGCACAGTGCACAGGCCAACGGTAGCCCCGGGAGCGTGCCAGCTCTGTAGGCACTGCAGAAACTGTTACTTAGAGGAGGAGTTGGTGCCATGTTATCCCGGCAGGTGGCAGCGGTGCTGCTGCTGTGGCTGAGCTGCTGCGTCTCAGCTCTGTGGAGGTAGAAAGATGCATCCCGGGCCACTGGCCTTGAAGACCTCCCCCCGCATCCCCCCCCCCGTAGCCCCCCCTCCTGCTTGGTTCCCAGATCCCCAGAAGATGGCCTGAGCTCCCTCTGGGAGTCTTTGGAGATGAGTTGATGGTCAGCCCTCTGAAACGCTGTTCTGCAGAAGGGCGATGGTACCTTCATGTTGCTGCTGCCTTTGATCATTTAAAAGAAAATTATAGACAGATGGAATGTGTGTGTGTGTGTGTGTGTGTGTGTGTGTGTGTGTGTTATTTTGAGCATATTGAGCATATCCCACCGTACACTATTCTTTTTCTTTTCCATTTGCTGCTGAATATTGAAGCCCAGCTTTCCCTTCTCAGATGAATTCTTAAGTTCCTCCTGTACCTGTACCCTTGTTTCTCCCTAAAGTAGAACGAGAGATGGCCAGGGAAGGGGGCATTACTTCTGACTTATATTAAGGAGTTGAAGCAGAGTGACTTTTCCTAAAATACTGTATAAACGTAAAGAAATTAATTTCTATATAAAGTATTGATTTAGATACTGAAGATGTTATGAAGTTCTGAGAGGTCTTTAAAGCAGGTGTGATGGTTCAGTATTCAGTAATCACTACCTCGAAAGGGATATCAAAATATTTTAGATTTTACATGGGTTAAAATGCACCTTAAGCAGGACAGTGATGGCTCATGTCTTTAATTCCAGCACTCTGGAAGCAGAGGCAGGCCGATCTCTGTGGCTTGGAGGCCATCCTGGTCTACAGAGGGAGCTCCAAGGACAGCCAGGGCTGTACAGAGAAACCGTGTCTTGGGGGAAAAAAGAAAGCACAGTAAACCAGAAAACTATATTCATCAAATATGCTATATAAAAATAAGAATTCCCCCCCCCCATTAACCTTTAACAAGGCCAACAAGGATTCAAACAAATGAGCCAGGCATGTGCCAAGCTAGTTTAATCCTAGCACTTGGGAGGATCTTTGAGTTCGAGGCCAGCCTGGTCTACAGAGAGTTCCAGGACAACTAGAGCTACACAGAGAAACCCTGTATCAAAAAATCAAAACCACAAACAACAAAAAAGAAATCAAACAATTGTAAGTTTTTTTTACAAGGAGAAAGGTTTGTTTTTTTTTCCCCCTAAGAGATGTATTGTGTGAGTTGGTACATGTGAATTCCAGCATTCAAGGGGCCAACAATTCAAAGCGAACTTGGGCTTATAGTTAGACTCTGTTTAAAAATAAAGTCTGAATTAAAAATCAAATACAAGAGCTGGAGAGATGGCTCAGTAGTTAAGAGCACTCACTGGCTTACTACAATCTAACTTCGGTGACAGAAGATTTGGCACCCTCTTCTGTCCTCTGTGGACATTGCATACATGTGGTGTACGGAAATATAAGACGCAATACATGTTGGTTTGTTTTGTTTCTTTTAATCTTAAAATTTCTAAATTAAATATTAGAAGCAGTAGCCATTATGGAGATATCAGTGAGAAAGAGCGAAGGCACTGTGCTCTGAAAACGTAGTAAGCCTTTTTTTCTTTCACAGAGAAGATAACGAGTTTTGTGAGTCTAATGCAGTCTTAATGTTTCAGTAGCTCAGCAAATGCAATGAATCTCTGCTGACTGTAGGGCGCTAAGTTTTCTAGCAATAAAATCTGTGCTATATCTACTGACACCTTTGCCCTACTAGAGGAAAGCACTCTGGGTATGGTTATATGATAAAATTTGATATACTGTGAGATACAGTTACAGTTAGTCATTCCTGGTTTATTCATGAGTAAAGGAATGCTCAAGCGTCTCTCCCTTCTCCATGTTTCTCTTGATCCCCCTCCCCCTCTGCACCGCCTCTGTGTGTGTGTGTCAGGGCTGAAGCAGTGTGATTGGGAAAGAGTGCTGGGTAAATCAGAAATGCCGTGTAAATGTAAGGAAATAGGATTCCCATACGAAGTATTGACCTGGAGAGTGAAGTTAGTGCCATTGCGCCTTAGGCATTGCCCACTGTTTCATTTGATTGATTCATTGATTATTTAGAGACAGGGTCTCACTGTGAAGCCCTGGATAGAGTGGAAACCACTCTGTAGACTAGGCTGGTCTCAAACTCACAGAGATACATCTGTCCTTGCCTCCAAAGTCCTGAGATTGAAAACAAGTGCCACCATCCTTAGCCATTGTCTACTTCTATTTTGTGACAGGTTTTCTCACTGGCCTGGGACTCGCCATCTTGGTCAGGCTAGCTATCCAGTGACCTCTAATGTGTAACCTCTAGTGAGGTTAGAATCATGTATCAGGATGCCTGACTTCTGATTATGTGGGCTCCTGGTATTGAACTCAGGTCCTCCTGCTTGCAAGGCGAGTACCTACCCAGCCCTAATATTTTTTTAAAGGCTAAAATTTAGGGTCTAGGGGGATAGCTTACTGCTAGACATGCGTGAGGCCATAGGTTCAAAAGGCACTGGGAAAAGATAAACAATAGATTCCCCAAAATTTAACAAGATGGATTTCAAACTGTTTCGGTGTTAGCTATTTTGAAAGATGTCTTGTGTAGCTGAAATTCTTTCCTGACTGGAGTTCTTTCCACCACTAGCATTGTATTTTTTACCATTTTTGTTAAATAAAATTCACGGGAAGCTTTAGTTTGGACATGCGCTCTTGTGCTGGGCCAAACAGAATGAACCAAAACGGAGGTGATAATGTCCCCCTCTTACCTGACCAGAGTCAATAGGTTAATGAGCTAAAAGTCAGGAGAGAGAAAAACAGTCAAATTCCCCAAAAAGCCAGTTTCAGTCGGCACTACAAGGACCTTCCATCTGGTTTTGTCCTTAGAGAATGTAACTGAGCCTGGCAGTGGTGGCACACACCTCTAATTCCAGCACTTGGGAGGCAGAGGAGGCAGAGGCAGGCAGATTTCTGAGTTCGAGGCCAGCCTGGTCTACAGAGTGAGTTCCAGGACAGCCAGGGCTACACAGAGAAACCCTGTCTCTAAAAAAACAAAAACAAAAAAAAATGTAACTGAAAGTGACTTGATCTAGACCCAGCTATTGATTTTCATCTGTATCCCATCTTAGTTCAAACAACCAACCCACATTTTTAGTCTTAGCTCCTTTCCAGGACCGGACTTCCGTAGTGCCAACCTGCTCTACTTAGCTTATCAGAATACTGGTGCTTTTTTTTTTTTTTTTTTTTTTTTTGGTTTTTCGAAACAGGGTTTCTCTGTGTAGTTCTGGCTGTCCTGGAACTCACTCTGTAGACCAGATACTGGTGCTTTTTAATGAAATAGAGCATTGTCTGATTCTGAAATTTCAAATACAACTAATTGCGATGTCCCAATTGCTATAATTCTGTCTTTTGATGAATTCTTTATGCAGTGGAGACGAATATTCCTAGGTTCCTTTTTCCACGTAATCATGTAATCTAGATCTATTTTTGAAATGTTATATCTATCTATCTATCTATCTATCTATCTATCTATCTATCTATCATATGTGGGTTTTTTGCCTGCATGAATCTCTGTGCACTATATGTGTGCAGTGCCTGAGGAGGCCAAAAGGAGATGCCAGATACTCTTGGAAGTAGAGTTAAATACACTTGTGAGCCACCATGTGGTGCTGAGAATCTCAACCCATTCCTCTAGAAGAGCAATCCATGCTCTTGACCCCTTGGCTATCTCTCTAGTCCCTAGATACGTTTTGAAACCAGAGGGAGATGAATGCTGATGTTCACCTCCCTTATAGCACCTACTACTGTGTGTGTGTGTGTGTGTGTGTGTGTGTGTGTGTGTGTGTGTGTGATTCTGGCTGGGAATTGGAAGTCCAGCCTTCCTATCTCCTCTGCCCTGTCATTGGCTCATCAGCTATTTATTAACCAATCACAGATAATTGGAGAGCATTCTTTACACAGCATAAAGACAGGAGATTAATAAATGTGACTGTGCCCATGTTGGGACTGCGACCAGATCTCAGGGCACAGAAACCCGTATCTGAATACACACAAGACCGTCTGAGTGCACAAGACATCCTGAAGCACCTACACACAGGAAAAACGTTTCTGACTTAAAATTTTAGGAGTGGACACATTCCAATGACAGTTAATATGCAGGGTAGATGTGAAATAGATCATCAAACAGAAGGAACGCAGAAAAAAATATAGAAGTTAGGTCTGGTCCAACCTCCCAGGCCCATGCTCCCAGAATTAAGACTCAGACTCAAAATATATTTACCAATACCTTGTCCATGTAGCTAGGCTCTTCTCTGACTAGATCCTAACTTAAATGAACCCATTTGCTCTTATTTACATTCTGCCATGAGACTGGTTGCCTGGGCTCAGGCACCATGCGTCCCTCTCATCACATCTTCCAGGGCAATCTTCAGTGCTGCCTAGCCTTCTCTATCCCAGAATTGTTTCTGCCTCCTGGACGTTCCACCTACTCCCTGATTAAGCCATAGGCTTAATTAATTAATTAATTAATTATTGACAGGTGTCACGTCCATACAGACATAAAAAATATTCTCTACAGTCTTATGAGCTTCTCCAGCCACTTGTGACCTGTGAACTTTTGAAATACATTTCAAACTGAGATGGATTTTAAATGTAATACATACATCAGATTTCAAGGAATTAGTAAAAAGAATGTAAAAATACCTTACTGATGAGTCTTTTACAGGGATTACATTTGGGGTTGATTATAGTATGGAAATGATTTTTCTCTGATTTTATTCTTTGCGATTACTTGACAATGTTTACTTAGTTACAGGTACACAGTGGCTTATGTTACATTTCTCGTCCACAATGCCTCTTGAGATGGGCAAGTTATGCTAAAATTAAGGTATCCTGGATAGTGAATAGTATAAAAATGATCATGAACAAGGACTTAAAAGTTTTATTTCTAGTGTTCTAAGATGAAAAGTACTGGTTACTAAACTCCAGTCTTTGATTTTGTAAATTCTAGCTGAGTGCATGAAGTGAAGGAGTCAAGTGTAATATATCCGGTAGCATTTGTTCTACTGAATATATGAAATGAGTATGGCTAGTGGGAGCCTGGGATCCAAGCACTCAGGGGAGTGAGGCAGGAATCTAAACACTCAGGGGAGTGAAGCACTTGGTTTACCAGGAATTTGAGGCTAGCCTGGGCTACATAGTGATTTCCAGATGAATCAGGGCCATGTAGTAAGATCCTGTTTCAAAATCAAAAAAAAAAAAATAAGGAAGGGGACTAACCTCTCATGCCATTTTAATGCCTCCTGAACTAAGCAAACCCCGACTTGCCAGACTGATGGGTAGCAGTCACTGACCTTACTTTTAGCTTTAGGTTCGCCTCCCAGAGAGGAAAGAGCTCCTGGAAGCCTGGGTATCCCCTGACCATGTGTAGAATCTCTCATATGTCAAGGAGAAACTGATGCTAATATTCGCATCCTGCCTTTTCCTCCACAGATACTACATGAATAGCCCAGATTATTCCATTTTTAGTACCAGGAGTACTGTAAGTATCAAATATCTTTTTATTTATTTATTTATTTATTTATTTATTTATTTATTTATTTTTAACAAAGTACAGCATCCTCATACATGTGTCATTAGAGTTCTGATGTGTTTCCCTCTGCCCTTCCCTTTCTTGCTCCAGCTAGTTTCCTCATCTAATTTCCTGTCACATGTATTCCATCACCCTCCCTCCTCATCTTTTTTTTTTTTAATAGTAACTTTTTAAAAAATGTTAATCAAAGGCTTTATAAGTTTGGTAATGCTCATACAATCAGATGCCCATACAATCAGAAGTGTAACTCAATACCCAACCTAGATATACCAACTGTCTTTGACTGGCGGAGATACTCGAATATCCGACTCCATGTTCCCTCCTCTACCTCTCTCTCCTCCTAGCTCCTCCTCTCATTCTCCTCCTTCTCTCCTTACTCCTCCCACCTTAGCTCCTCCTACATATCACCCTTCCTGTTAAAATAAAACTTTTCTCTCAAAATACAATTAAAGCATAACTATACCAATTTGTATCAGTAAGGTACAAGATAGACCTAATACCCAGTCCAACATTTTGTTGACTAACCAGAACCTCTCTCACCTCTCCTAACTAAAAGACTTAGTTCTGAACCTGGCTTTTTTCATGGCTTTAGAATGAATGTCAGCTGAAAATCATCCTCTCAAATCTTTTCTCTTAAAGTAAATAGCCAGGATTGGGCATGAGACTATAAGTCTTCAACCCCGTCAGAAATCCAGAATGACTGAATTAACTTAAATTATGGGAAGCACAAAGCATAGCTTCTAAAACTTAGCCAATTTATAGAGACCACTGAACACCTTGACAGTCCCTATACTACAAAACTTTGGAGCATCCGATCTTCAGCCTTCTGACCCAGGATCATCTGACAGACCTAGTGATGCAGAATTATTAAGGGCTGATTACTCTGTCTTGGCAGATATAATCAGTTGACTATTCCACAAAGGTGTCCTTTTCTGGACAGTAATCTGTCTGTAGAAAAGAGGCAATTCTTGCCTAGTGGCTGTCTCACCACAACTGGAGTAACTCCAGAGATGCTCTATTTCTTCTTAGAATCCAAGACAGGAAGCTGTCAGGAGCAGACAGATCTCTAATCAAAATGAACGTTAATACAGAAATGTGTGTAACATCAATTCTATGGACTTATGATGTTTTGAAAACCAACTATCCATGTAAGGCAATCAGGACTGTTGTCTGTTAACTCCTCTCAGCTATTTCTAAATAAAATATAGAAAACACCCTAACCATAAACTCAGAGCCATGAATTTGCTGTAGGCCCTTAACTCACAGGCTAACCATCTCATATCAGTTAAAGAAGGACTGGGTCTAAGCCTTGTATTCATAAATGTGTTATATAGGCACAATGCCTATGAGAGTAACAATATTAATCTCACTTTTATATCAGTAAGAAACTCATAACAATGAAAATCTTAAATTTGAAATCAAAGTAAATTTTGTATCATTTAAGAAATTATAACTTCAGCTTAATAACAATTATTAACAGATTTCTACCAATAGGTTACAGCTATGCAATAAATCCTAGCTATTCCTCCCTGTTCCAACAAAACCACTACTTTTCCCTAGAAAGACAACCCAATATTAACCACCTCAGTCCCCAAGCCCAGGGAATAGGGGCGCCGACTCTTCATTAACTTCTTCAAGCTAGTTACGGGAGTTGAAATATTAGAAGAGAGGTGGGGGGAAGAGTAAATTGATAAGCCTCTGATGTCTGTGTCTTCACTGCATCCAGCTGAAATTCCAGGACACCAGTGGTTTGAGCAGGTCTGCTCAGCTTGCTTGATGAGTAGATGCACCAAGGCTGTGTATTCTGCAATATACAATTCTCAAAACAAATTTTAGTATCAAGATTTTTTTTTTGTTTGAATTCTGGAATCTAGTCTCCTGGTGGCCTGCCTCTGTCATGACTAATCCATATAATTCTGGGAGTTTCTATGAGAGTGTGCTCCCACCATCCTCCCATTCCTGCCTCCCTGCTCTCAAATTCCCCAACACTAGGGAATTCAAACTTTCAGGCACCAAGGCCCTCCACTTCCATTGATGCCAGACAAGGCCACCCTCAACTACCTATACAGGTGGAGCCATGAGTCCCTCCCTTTGTGTTCTTGGGCTGGAGGTTTTAGAATGGCTACTCCAGCTTGTTTCTTAGGGCCATTTGCTTGAAAATTTGTTTTCCAGCCATTTACTCTAAGGTAGTATCTGTCTTTGTCACTGAGGTGGGTTTCCTGTATGCAGCAAAATGCTGGGTCCTGTTTACATATCCAGTCCATTAGCCTATATCTTTTTTATTGGGGAATTGAGTCCATTGATGTTAAGAGATATTAAGGAACAGTGATTAACAGTGATTGTTGCTTCCTATTATTTTTGTTATTAGAGGTGGAATTATCTTTGGATTTGTTGGAAGAGGATTACTTTCTTACTCTTTCTAGGGTATAATTTCACTCCTGTATTAGAGCTTTCCCACTATTATCCTTTGTAATGCTGGGTTTGTGGAAAGATGTTGTATAAATTTAGATTTGTCATGGAATATCTTGGTTTCTCCATCTATGGTAATAGAGAATTTTACTGGGTATAGTAGCCTAGGCTGACATTTGTGTTCTCTTAGGGTCTGTATGACATCTGTCCAGGATTTTATTGTTTTTATAGTCTCTGGTGAGAAGTCTGGTGTAATTCTGATAGGTCTGCCTTTATATGCTACTTGGCCTTTTTCCCATACTGCATTTAATATTCCTTCTTTGTTTTGTGCATTTGGTGTTTTAATTATTATATGACGGGAGTTATTTCTTTTCTGGTCTAGTCTATTTGGTGTTCTGTAGGCTTCTTGTATGTTTATGGGCATCTCTTTCTTTAGGTTAGGAAAGTTTTCTTCTATAATTTTGTTGAAGATATTTATTGGCCCTTTAAGTTGGGAATCTTCACTCTCTTCTGTACCTATTATCCTTAGGTTTGGTCTTCTCATTGTGTTCTGGATTTCCTGGATGTTTTGTGTTAAGAACTTTTTGCATTTTGTGTTTTCTTTGACAGTTGTGTCAATATTTTCTATGGTATCTTCTGCACCTGAGATTCTTTCTTCTATCTTTTGTATTTTGTTGGTGCTGCTTGCATCTATAACTCCTGATTTTTTTCCTAGGTTTTCTATCTCCAGGGTAGTCTCCCTTTGAGATATCTTTATTGTTTCTACTTCTATTTTTAGATCCTGGATTATTTTGTTCAATTCCTTCATCTGTTTTGTTGTGTTCTCTTGTAATTCTTTAAGGGATTTTTGTGTTTCCTCTTTAAGGGCTTCTACCTGTTTACCTTTGTTCTCTTCAAATTCTTTGAGAGTGTTATTTATCTCCTTCTTAAAGCCCTCTCTCATCATCATTAGAAGTGATTTTAAATCTGAATCTTGCTTTCCTGGTGATATGGGAAATTCAGGACATTCTATTGTGGGAGAACTAGGTTCTAATGATGCCAAGTACCCTGGGTTGCTGAAGCTTATGTTCTTGCACTTTCCTTTTTCCATCTGGATCTCCTTAGTGCTACCTGCCCTGTCTATGACTGGAGCCTATCTTTCCTATTATCTTAGTTGTTTCAGAACTGTGTGGGGTGGGTGTTACTACTGGGGTTAGAGCTGGGGTCCAAGATCTGCTCAATGCCCGGGTGCAGACAGGAAGGAACCAGTGCTCTGGGCCAGGAGTGAATTCCTGGGTCCCAGTTGCTCCCTATTTTGGGCAGGTGTTGTTGTCTCATTACCTAAGATACTGCCCAGGTTAGAGCTCCTGTGAGGTCTGCTTCCTCTGGGTTTTGTGAGATTGAGTGCAGAGCTGCTGGCCTGGGATGTGCTCAGTGCTCGGGCCCAGACTGGAAGGAACTAGTGCCCTGGGCCAGAGTGAATTGGTCCCAGTGCGTCCCAATTACTCCCTGTTTTCAAATATCTTTTTTTTTAAAATATTTATTTATTTATTATATATGAATTCACTGTAGCTGTCTTCAGACACACCAGAAGAGGGCATCCAATCTCATTACAGATGGTTGTGAGCCACCATGTGGTTGCTGGAATTTGAACTCAGGACCTCTGGAAGTATAGTCAGTGCTCTTAACCACTGAGCCATCTCTCCAGCCCCTCAAATATCTTTTTAAAACATTAGTATTTCTGAACTTTCAAAGAGGTAGTCATACTTTGTTTTACTGTTATTTCTGTTTATGAGATACTTAACTCTGTATATTATTATTATTATTACCCTTCTTTTTAAATTTTTTAATTTTTTTATTCAATATTTTATTTATTTACATTTCAGATGCCATTCCCCTTCTACATTTCCCCCCACCCCCACATTAATCTCCTTTCCCATCCCTCCTCCTGCTTTTTTGCCTTTATACTGTTTAAATTACATGCAAGTATTAAGATCAGTTCTAGGTTGAGGAACTAGCAATACAATATATGCAAATATTCAAGGAACAAGCAAGACAATAAACCCAGATAGTCAAAGAACATGCACAACAATAAACAGAGTCCCATGATCACTGCTGTGATCACTATTTCTAAGGGCTTATCAGAATGCCCAAAATATCTGAGCCTATTTCCCTGTCCTAGCCCAAAGTCATTTTCATGTCTGAAGCCTACTTCTTTGTTCTAGCTTAAGATTTAGATTTCTGCCTATAATTACTTCTTTCTTCTAGCCTAATGTCAGATTCCTGCCTGCAATCCATTTCCTTGGCCTTGGCCTATGTCAGATTCCTTCCAGGCAGCCTATTTCCTTGGCCAATGTCAGATTTCTGCCAGGCAGCCCCAAAAGCTCTCCACATCTCCCCCTTTTTATTGCATAAACCAGACTAAGCCTGTCATAGGTCATTCTGACAAGAAAGTCTTCCTTACCCATTGTGGAATATGCATTATCATAAGCAATGTACTTCTGTCTTAGGTTGGTAAGGCTCTGTACAGAATCTTACCTGTCCTTAGCTTGCCAGACTGT